TCCCCATGGCACGTCCCTTGGCACGTCGCTTGGCGGGTCCCTTGAGACGTTCCGCGTCGCGTCCTCCTGGCATGTCCCCTTGTCAATTAGCTCTGGGGCAGCTACTATGTGTTCAGGCAGCTCGGTCAGGACTCGGTGCAAAGAAGGACTCGGATCCACGAGGCTATAGAGCACAATCGCGGCATGGCGCATCGCAATTCAGCACGACGCAGCACAGCACATATTTCGGCAGGGTACATCAAGATCGATACACTCAGCATTGCAACTTGGCACGTTCCTTGGCACGTTCCGCGGCGCGTCCCTTGGCGAGTCTCCCTGGCACGTCGCGTGGCGCGTCCCCTGGCACATCCCGTGGCACATCCATTGGCACGTTCCGTAGCGCGTCCCCTTGGCACGTCCCGCGGTGCGACCCTATGGCATGTCCCCTGGCACGTCGCCTGGCGCATCCCTTGGGACGTTTCGCGGCGCGTCCTCCTGCCATGCTCCCTTGTGCATCAGCTCTGGGGCAGCTACTATGTGTTCAGGCAGCTCGAGCTTAAGATCCAGATCAGTTCGGTCAGGACTCGGATGCAAAGGAGGACTCGATCCATGACGCTATAGAGCACATTCGCGGCATGGCACATCGCAATTCAGCACGGTGCAGCACTGCACAGCCCTCGGCAGGGTACATCAAGATCGATACACTCAGCATTGCATTTGCCCGTCATCCAATCAGGTGTCTTTGAAAACGCTGCCATGTGTTACAGTTCTATATTCCTTTCCGGGTTCGTGGGTCGATCATGTTACGTATCCGGGCCACCCAGGGGGGTATCTAAAATGATTGTTCTGAGCAAGGACCAAGTGTTGTAACGAGTCCAGGCTACCCAGGGGTGTATATAGCTTGGTTTCCCGAGGTGGCACCATGTGTTTTTAAGTGTCCAGGCCATCCAGGGGGATGTCTAACATGGTTGCCCCGAGCAAGGACCACGCATTTTAACGTTCCGTAGCGCGTCCCCTCGGCACGTCCCGCAGTGCGTCCCCGTGGCAAGTCCCCTGGCACGTCGCCTGGCGCGTCCCTTGGGACGTTCCGCGGCGCATCCTCCTGTCATGTTCCCCTGTGAATTAGCTCTGGGGCAGCTACTACGTGCTGAGGCAGCTCGAGCCTAAGATCCAGATCAGTTCGGTCAGGACTCGGATGCAAAGGAGGACTCGATCCACAACGCTATAGAGCACAATCGCGGCATGGCACATCGCAGTTCAGCACAGCGCAGCACAGCACAGCCCTCGTACATCAAGATCGATACACTCAGCATTACAACCTGGCACGTTCCGTGGCGCGTCCCGTGGCGTGTCCCCCTGGCACGTCGCGCGGCGCGTCCCCTGGCACGTCCCGTGGCACGTGCATTGGCACGTTCCGTAGCGCGTCCCCTCGGCACGTCCCGCGGTGCGTCTTCGTGGCACGTCCCTTGGCACGTCGCCTGGCGCGTCCCTTGGGACGTTCCGCGGCGCGTCCTCCTGCCATGCTCCCTTGTCAATTAGCTCTGGGGCAGCTACTATGTGCTGAGGCAGCTCGAGCTCAAGATCCACATCAGTTCGGTCAGGACTCGGATGCAAAGGAGGACTCGATCCTCAACGCTATAGAGCACAATCGCGGCATGGCACATCGCAATTCAGCACGGCGCTGCACAGCACAGCCCTCGGCACGGTACATCAAGATCGATCCTTTCAGCATTGCGTTTGGCCGTCGCCCAATCCAGTGTCTTTGAAACGTTGCGATGCCTTACATTTCTATATTCCTTTCCGGGTTCGTGGGTCGATCATGTTTCCCGGAAAGGGCTCGAGCCCAGGGTTCTCTTTTAGTTGGTTCCCCCCGGTTTCGACGGCTGTAGGGCCGGCGAAATTATTCTGCGATAAATTACGTGCGGGAGTAGGGCCAGCGAATTAAAATGTGAGGATGTCTCGAGCGAAGCGCTCGTTTTCATAATTTGTTGAGGATGTCTCGAGCGAAACGCTTGTTTTGTGTTGTAGATTGTCCTCTCCTGGGGACCTGAATTCAGAGGATCTCTCAAGACTCAAGTGAAATGCTTGTTTTCACGTGCCCAGGTCTTGAGGATGTCTCGAGACGCTTGGTTTCACGCCTCCAGGTTGCCCAGACCGAGGTCTAGCGCCAGGATTTTGTTGAGGATGTCTCGAGCGAGACGCTTGGTTTCACGCGTCCTCGTCGCCCAGGCGGATGTCTAGCATGAGGATGTGTCGAGGAAGTCTCGATCGAGACGCTTGTTTGCATGTGTCCAGGTTGCCCAGGCGGATGTGTAGCATGAGGATGTGCTGAGAACGTCTTGAGCGAAACGCGTGTTTTCACGTGTCCAGGTCGCCCAGACACAGCACAGCCTTCGGCACGGTACATCAGTATCGATACCCTTAGCATTGCAGCCTGGCATGTTGCCTGGCACGTTCCGCGGAGCGTCCCGTGGCAGTCCCCCTGGCACGTCTCGCGGTGCACGTCCATGGGCACGTTCCATAGCGCGTCTTTTTGGCACGTCCCGCGGTGCGTGCCCATGGCACGTCCCCTGGCACGTCGCCTGGCGCGTCCCTTGGCACGTTCCGCGGGGCGTCCTCCTGGCATGTCCCCCTGTCGATTAGTTCTGGGGCAGCTACCATCTGCGCAGGCTGCTCGAGCTTAAGATCCAGATCAGTTCGGTCAGGACTCGGATGCCAGGGAGGACTCGGTCCTCAACGCTATATAGAGCACAATCGCGGCATGGCACATCGCAGTTCAGCACGGCCCAGCACAGCACAGCCGTCGGCACGGTATATCAAGATCGATACACTCAACATTGCACCTTGGCACGTTCTTTGGCGCATTCCGTGGCGAGTCCACCTGGCACGTTGCGCGGCGCGTCCCCTGGCACGTCCGGCGGCACGTCCATTGGCACGTTCCGTAGCGCGTCCCCTTGGCACGTCCCGCGGTGCGTGCCCATGGCACGTCCCTTGGCACGTCGCTTGGCGCGTCCCTTGGGACGTTTCGCGGGGCGTCCTCCTGGCATGTCCCGTCTGTCGATTAGTTCTGGGGCGGCTACCATCTGCTCAGGCAGCTCGAGCTTAAGATCCAGATCAGTTCGGTCAGGACTCGGATGCAAAGAGGACTCGATCCACAACGCTATGTATAGAGCACACTCGCGGCATGGCACGTCGCAGTTCAGCACGGCCCAGCACAGCACAGCCCTCGGCACAGTACATCAAGATCGATACATTCAGCATTGCACAAGGGCGCCCTCGAGGGCGCGAAGTTATTCGCGCTTCGCGCTTCGCGGTTCGGCTCCGATTCCTCCTCATCCTCCTCTTCTCCCCTGGGAGGCGGCGCGAGAGCGCGAAGTTATTCGCACTTCGCGCTTCGCGCAGCGCGAAGCGCGAAGTTGGGAGCCCTTGTTGCATTTGTCCGTCGCCCAATCAGGTGTCGCTGAAACGTTGCCGTGCCTTACATTTCTATATTTCTTCCCGGGTTCGTGGGCCGATCACGGCTCACCCGCCTCCCGCCTCGCGGCTCGGAGCCGGAGCCGCCGCCGCGACACGCTAAAGCAACAGTCCCTCACCGTATGGTTTCTTCGGTCGCAAATTAGGGGAGCCTTGTGTACCCTTTTGATTCCGCCTTTCATGTCGACTAGCGTCGATTAGCGTGTGGGAGTCGATGATATAGCGCCGATGTAGCGTCGGCTAGCGTCGATTTTAGAGTCGATTCAGAGTCGATTCGCGTCGATTGAGCGTCGACTAGCGTTGATTCGCAAAAAAGCCGACAGGAAGGTACGGGAGGCCGGGAGGCTCCCGTGAGCTGCCACCGAAGTCTTTTTCAATCCTGGCTTTGGTTGTTCTCTGGGTCTGTTCGCCCTGCCCTCTGTAGGGCTGTGTATACCCAGCCGCCACAGTCCGCAGATTCTTGCACTCTACGGATCTGGTCCCGCGGACAGGCTGGAGAGCCAAGCGGCTCGGCAGACGGCGACGCGCCCGCCTGGCAAACTTGATGGACAAAATTCGTGTTCCCGTGAACCTTGGCATCGCTCGGACGTGTGCATTTTTCCTTCGGCGAGGACCATGGGGCCCTCACTCCCCTCCTCTCTTCATCCTTCTTGTGAATCGGGAGGAAAAGGGGGAGGGCCAACAGCAGCAGCAGCAGGCGGAGGAGCAGGAGTCGGAAGAGGTGTAGCAGCAAGAGGAGGTGCCGCTCGCGAGGTGGCCAGCCCGTTTCGCCTCAGACATCCTCGCAATTCTGGGCTCTGATATGCCTCGAGGTGGTCTAGCTCTGTATTTCGCTTGAGACTTCCTCGCATCTGTACGCCCAGATCAGCTCTGACCTGAAGTGACCTGCCCCGTTTTGCCTGGGACATCTTCGCAGTTCTAGGTTCAGATATGGCCGTGACTTCCTGGAAGCCTGGGGGCCTCCCAGGTGGCTTGGGCTGAGGGGCCCAAGATAACCGAAAGATTATGAAGAAACTCGAAGTGTGGATTCGCGCGCGCTGACAATATTCCCCCCCGTCGATCTGTGGATTCGGCGCCGGTAATGTGGATACCCCACCCTCGATCTGTGGATTCTGCGCGTGTACACCGGACGACCCCAGAACCATCTGCGACCAACATGCGGCTTTTGGCTCAAGACTTCTGGCTCAAGCCATTTTGGCTCGAGCCGTTCCGCAGTTTGGTCGCCTCTGGGCGCCCGCCAGGGCGTTTCAGCAGCCGCGGCATCTGCGGGCGGTGGGCACCCGCTGCAGCGATCGCAATGCGGGGGATGAACCCGTCCGACGGTCTGGCCACCTCGACGAAGACCGGCACGAGCGAGGCTGTCGACCCCGTCCTGCGCAGCCTGCTCGCGCTGCACAAGGAGCTGCAGTCCACCAGGATGGAATGCACGGGCCTCGCGGCCAGGATGGAGTCGCATCAGCAGTCCCTGCTCAAGACCATGAAGGGCGTGGAGCGCCAGGCGGAGGGGGGCGGCGCGCAGACGGAGGAGATCGTGCGGGAGTTTCCCG